ACATTTGGGCGGCGTTATGCAAATCTTCCCACATCGTGACGTAGACATGTGGGGGCGTGTTAGAACGAGGCGTTTTAGGAGGGCATGGACAAGTCTTAACTTTTATAAAGAATATCTCTTTGGATTTGAGACTTTAGTCTTTGCAACTTCTTTATGCACCAAGAGCTTGTAACACTCCAAAGAGAAAGGAAACATTTAAATCGCATCATATGACCCCTTTAAGTGAACTATTGAGAATGCCAGTGCGACGTGTGTGTGTTCTCTTTAAAAAGTCCACCGGAAACGAGAGCTGCGCCAGGAAAATATCTGCAGCGCCTCCTACTGCACTGCGATGGAATAACAAGCTCGCTGAAGGCGCTCAAAGAAGACAATGCGTAAAATTCTGTCAGAAATGTGCTTCTAATGGTTTTCACCTCTTGTGGCTCCAGATTGTGGCTTCAATTTAATTTTAGGTAACGCGATTGATGTTTTTGGGGAACTTGGTAAGTTTTAGAAATGTAGATGCGCGTCCAGTTACGCAGAGACGTTTGTACATGTTTAAAGTTATATATCCTGTTGTATCTGTACAATAAGCCGTTTCATATGTGAAAATACATCTAAAAACATGACCGTTTATTTGAGTTTGTGCTAATGCTGGACCACTTCACTTCATGTCCACTAGAGGTCGCGATTGAGCCTCACAGATTCCCCACAAGAGTGGTTCAGTCAGGGAAGATTATTGATGCTTGATATTTACCTCACAAATGAAGGCTGTGAAGACAAATTGTTATTATCCAGGGCTATTACTAAATAATTAAACATTAAAATATTCCAGAGTTTGATAAACAAGCCTGTTGAAATATTGTTGTCCCATGTATTTTACATGTTTACTGTTAAAAATATTTTCTGATCGTAATCAACAAATTAGATTATATATGTAGGCTATAGGCCTGTGTGTGTATATATTTATTTATTTTGTCTGCATTAGCCTATTTCATTTAACTTAATGAAGTTTTGAAGAATGATATATGGTCTCTAATCATTTTATTAAATCGTTGGAACACTTGTTATTGAAGAAATGTATTCATGTTTTTAGACAATATAACATAAAAAGAGCATGATGAATCTCACTTTGGCAGCTTGAGTTTTTATGTGCGCTGAAAAAAGTGGACGTGGTGAAAGAGGAAGGGATAAGAGCTTGAGGTAAGCAGTTTTGTTTTAGCGCCATGTCGCGTTGATTTCATGTTGCATTTTTATTGGCTGGTCAGTAAATGTGGATCGTAGGAGCAAACACACTGTGCGATCGCCGATGATCGTGCTGTATTTTTGACACTGTCAGGAAATGATCGTACCCGCAATGAAAACTCTGAACACAATGTAAGTAGATTTTAAGATTTATTAGTGTTTTTGATATTTCGTAAATATATTTTTTAAACCTGTCGCTATTAAGTTACATATTATTCTTCCATTCAGTGTTTGTGTTTCTTATCAGAAATGTTAAATGTGTCTAACCATTTATTTTGGCAAATGTCAACCAGTTATTTTTAATTTGCTGTAGTCCTTTGGTCACAAGACCGTGACAATGGCCGTCTTTGAACCTCTCTCTCACTGTAAGGACATTAGGATGCCACGATCACAGAAATCGCCACGAGTGTGTAACCATGCCAATCTTTCGTCTGGGACAGCCGATAATCGTGCAGTGTGTTTTGGGCTTTATAGTATATAAATATTAGCTCACATGCTCCATATGGTTTTTCTATAGTATGTGAATGAAGTTGAAAACTGTTTTTTATGAAGTTCAGCATGTCATTAACAAATCAGATAAAAACATATTAAGTGACCAGGTGTTCTGATTCAGGCCCATTTATTCAAGGACTTGATTAGCTGGATCAGGTGTGTTTAATTAAGGCTGAAGCTAAACTCTGCAGAGCTATGGCACTCCAAAATTGAAACTGAGTTGAGTATTTATTAAGTTTTATTTTCACCTCAGCATTAACGCTCCACACTCCAGAAATGCACTTATGAGCTAGTCTGCCAACCACCAATAAACAACAGAAGCTTAAAACAAACTTATGGAGGAACTGAGTGCATGAATAAATGCAGAATAAATAAAATATGTGACATATGTCAGAAAACTACATGTTACAAACAAATATAATAAATACAGTTGTAGTTCCTTAACCCTTTTCTTTTAAACCAGGGTTTGATTTTCGTCCTGTAATGGGACTCATTCTGTACATGGATTTTAATTCAACTAACCATAATTCATTAAATGATTTTGATCATTAAGTCAGTGCATGTATGTTGTCCTTCATATTTTCCTCCATCAGTTCTTTTTGGCATAAGCTGCTTGGTTTAGATCTGTGCTTGATTCTTCATATCTGTATCGTCTTTTCACAGTTTATTTTGTAAATCATATAGTGTTTTATATAGTGTTGCTCTGGGTTTTTTTTTTTTTTTAAAGTCTCTTCTGCTCACCAAAGGTTCACAGAAGAAACCCCTAATCTAATAGCTGTTCTCTCACATAAGATCTACTAAACATTGTAAGTATTAACATTGTGTTTTTGGCCTGGTTTCACTGGCAGAATTAGGCCCTAGTTAAATTAGGCCATTTAAGTAAATTTTTTTTTTTTTTTAAATGTGCTTTTTTTTTTAAATGATCTTGATACAAATGAATGGCGTTGACATTTTAAGAATTGTCAGTATGAGTTGCTTTCAGTTAGAAAAGCTCAAACATGCATTTTAGTCTGGGACTAAGCCTCGTCTGTGTGTTGTCTTTTAAAAATAATGTTTTACTTTGACACTTATAAAATGTGATTTAAATTAACAATGAGGCAGTGAAGAATTGATCTATTAAACTAGGAGTGATGTTTTTGCATTTTTACCAGTCAGAGGATATACTATACAGTCCTTCTTGCAGACAAACTATTTATTATTTTTTTTTAATACAAAGTGCAATCATTTTATTCTTCAGACCTGAAGCATGATGTTGATGCCAGTGGTTTCGTTTTTCTGTCTGCTCTCTCTGACACCAGCGGCTACTGAAGGTACCACATTTTTCAATTATTGATCACGTGGATTATTATGAGTGGGAATTTTTTTTTTTCTTCGCTTTTTTTTTTAATTTAAAAAAAAAAATTTTTTTACGGTTTGTGATTTTGTCTTGCAGTGGGCCTCAGTGGTAAAGTGCTTCTATTTCCAACCAAGACTCACACCAGCTTTGTTAAACTCACTCCTGAAAAGCCACTGAATCTTTCAGCATTCACACTCTGCATGCGTGTCGCGACAGAGCTCCAGGACGAGAGGGAGATTATTCTGTTCAATTACCGCACACACGAGGTTGATGAACTCAACGTGTGGAGACGTAAAGATGGTTGTCTGGGCTTGATTATTCAGTCTAATGGCGATGAAGCTTTTTTCCACCTGCCGCCTCTCTCCACATTCCAGACTCACCTGTGTGTCACCTGGAACTCTGCGACTGGTCTCACTGCCTTCTGGGTGGATGGACAACGCAGTGTGTTCCAGATCTATAGAAAAGGTCTGTCAATCCGTCCTGGCATGTCAACCAGTTATTTTTAATTTGCTGTAGTCAACAAAATAATTGTTCCGAGGTTCAATGTGTATGTGTATGTTTATTCTCTGACAGCAGAATTGTAATAATTATCACGTCTGTGGTGACCAGCTGCATTCTGACACCTGTGTTTGTGGCAGGTGACCTTTCAGATGCATGTGTAAGAAAGCGGACGAGAGGTTCGGGGTGTGTCTCCGTTCAGGTTTTCTGTCTGGGGCCCGTCGACCGTCTCGTCCCTGCAGCTTTGACCTTTCAGTGTGGAGGAGCTTCTTCTCAGGTACGACTCACGGTCACAGTTCACCTTTATCACAGCAGAGCAACACGTCAGGAACGATACTGTACACCTGTAAGCACCGTATCACTATGTATTAGAGCAAACCGCTTTACCCTACAGCCCTCCTAACCGAAACATTAACCTCTTTCACACAATCTGTCCGGTTGTATTTATTATGCAGTCATACTGTAAACTACACTTCACCTAAATATGTATTTCAACACTGTCTTGCAATGCAGAAGCAAAGATATTCACACAAGCACTAAAATAATTTGATCATTTTATTGCAGGATTTTTTATGCATCTTAAATGAACACAAAATTCACACTGATGAAACAGTAATGTGAGATTAGCAGTATCTTCCTTCAGTTTTTTGTGTGAAACAATCATCTTATGTGCATCTTGTTTGAATGTTGATTATTTACAGAAGACAAGAAGTCTTAAAACAAACTTATGGAGGAACTGAGTGCATGAATAAATGCAGAATAAATAAAATATGTGACATATGTCAGTTTCTATTATAATATATTTTAAAATGTAATTTATTCCTGTGATTTAAAGCTGAATTTTCAGCATCATTACTCCAGTCTTTAGTGTCACGTGGTCCTTCAGAAATCATTCTAATATGAGGATTTGCTGTTCAATAAACATTTAAAAAAAAATTTTTGTTTGTTTTTGCAGAAACTGTGATACATTTTATTTTTCAGGATTCGTTTATGCATAGAAAGTTAAAAACAAATAGCAGTTATTTGAAATTGAATCTTTTGCAGCCTTATAAATGTCTTTAATGTAATTTTTGATAAATTTGATGCTGAGTAAAAGTATTAATTTCTTTAAAAAAAAAAAGAAGCATAAATTTAGTCAAGTGTGTCCAAACATTTATCTTGCAATGTAAATGATGTAAGTTCTTGTTTATTTTTCTTGTTCATGTTCGCTACACCAGTGTGTCGGTGGTTGTTAACGGGCTGGTCGGACAAAGCGTGTCCAGATGTTGAATGGACGACGGTCTGTTGGGTGTTTTGGAGCAGAGAAGGACACTTGAGTCGGCTTCACACTTCGTGGTTCTGCTGTGCCACAGAGCTTCAGCCGTCCCGTGCCGAATCGCCAGCCCGCCGTCAGACAGCACCTCTGTCTTCACCACAGGCAGCTGGGATGGATTGAGTTTCATCAGCACATCCAGAGAGCACTTCTGCCTTTCTTTAACACCGCTTCCTCGCTCCACCGCATCTCCGCCGTATTTATCATCCTCCTCTTCCTCCTCGTCTTCCGTCTCGGAGCAGTTTTCATCTCCTGTGTCTTTTGTTTCTCCTAGAACGTCTCCAGCGACGTTCGTGATTCCCACCGTGTCTTTTTTGATGGATAGATCGAGCGGCCCTTCGTTGGAGCGAGTTGTGCGCTCCAGCGCCTGTTGAATGTGCGACAGCTCCGACCGGATCTTTCCCAGGTGCGCCCACAGGTGGCACTGCTCCGGCAGAGATGCTGCACGCTGCTCCGTGTTCTGGTACTCCTGCAGTAACGTGCTGAAGTCCTGCAGGAGCACAGCTGCTGGGTCCGCGTCTCTCTCCATTCCTCTCTGTCTCGCCTCCAGCTGCTCAGACATATGCGGCGGGGACGAGACGTCACTGCGGGGGCTGTGAAAACACAGTTTAATTGTATCTAAATACCATTCATCAATTCCATCCTGACTGAGCGTGTAGTACATAGAGAGAGAGAACACTCAAGCAAGACATCCCAGATATAATGCATCTTTTGTGTATATTTATATATAGATGCAATGTATCTGGTATGTCTGTTTCTGGATATCTTAAAATACTCCTTATAATCTTATTTTCTCTCATAAAGCAACAAGCACAAGAGATCATGCTTTACAGTGCTTTTCAACATTGGTGTAATTGGTGTACTTAGGCTAAACGTGAAGTTGCGTCCACAATACTGGTTTAATAAGGTAAAATCATTGAAACACACTTTCAGATAGTTTATTGCTTTTTAAAATGTGACATCTGACAGTCTTATAAAAATAAAAGACAAAAAGTAGGTTATGTATTCATTAAGAAATAATTCATTTATATATATACATTTTTTAAAACATTTTTATAATTTTGTATATAATTTTTTGTTTGCAATTTTATATATTGTTATATTTGTGTATATATATATATATATATATATATTAGGGTTATGTTATTGTAATTTTTATTATTATTAATAATAATACATATATTCATTTTTATTAATACAAATATATTATACTTATTATTTATTTATTTAATATATATGTATATTTATAATACAACAGGTCCTGTCATCTTACCTGTTGTGTATTGGCAGCCTGCTGGACATCAGGGAGGTGATGGACGTAGATTTGTGAGCATTTTTCAGAGAGTCGAGGACTCAAGAGCTTGGCAGCCTGCTGGACATCAGGGAGGTGATGGACGTAGATTTGTGAGCATTTTTCAGAGAGTCGAGGGCAAACTCAAGAGCTGGTTTCTTCTCTCCTGGTGCACCATGGGAGTCCAAGGACATCGCTGTCCTCTTTAGACTTTGCTCTCTGATGAAGGAGGCGTCCTGCTGCCAGCTGCTCTTCCCTTCCCTGGACCGTATCCTCTCCTTTACGCCGTGGCTCGGTTCTGGGGAGGAACAGGAGGGCGATGGCCAGGCCGCGGGTGAGGATGTGGGCCGCAGGGCCGGGACCTTCCACAGGTTGAGTTTGGGAGGGTATGAAGGGGCCGGCAGGCTTACTGTTGGCGGTTTGATGAGCTTTCCAGTCTCTGAGGACGTCGAGGAAGGCGTGGCTCCGAAAGTGTGCTCGCACAGGAAAGGGTAATACAGGTGAGGAGGAAGTAAAGAATGCTCTGAGTGTCTTTGTGCATGGGTTGATGCCAGGAATGGCAGCGGTGCGCTTGTGTTCGCCATACTCGCTGGTAAGCTAAGTGCTGGATTTAGATACGAAAGGAGTCCGGGAGCCAACGGATATCCAACGCCGAGCAAAGACAGATTGAAACCCGGTGTTTCTGGGCATTCGATTTGACCCGTTGATGCTGGTGGAGGATAACAAGACAGAGAAGACACCACCGGATCTGATTTGGGCTTCGCACCAGACGTCTGGTTGCTTAAGATGCGCCATTGCTCTGAAAGCAAAGCAGCCGGTCCAGACAGACACGTTTTGGACAATCTATAGTGTCTGAGTTTTGACTCCGCTTCGACCGAACGTGCTCGCAAAAGTTGCTCCTCGAGCGAGAACACGTCGGCCATCACGAGGTCGGCTTCTTGCTTTGATCGCTTGCTTCCTCTCGAATCCATAGATTCAGGATTCATAGCCGTCGATGAGTTTGTCTCCACCACTTCTTCGTCTTTCTCTGCTTCTCTTTCAGATTCTCCTTTCTCACCCTCCTCCAGACTCGCCGCCGAATGCGAGGGCTCGTCTGACATCGCGACCCGCTCTGAGTGGCCTTTAGTCGGGCTACGTGAGCGAACGCCTCCCTGCTGGAGCCGGAGCTGCTCTTTTTTATAAGGCCAGTCGGACTCGATGAGCAGCGACAGGGAGTTCTTGCACAGGCTGTACTTCATGTGGTTGTACAGGTGTGATTTCTCCATGCAGGTGAACGGACACTGGAAGCATTTGTAGTTGTAGGGTTTGCCCCAAGGCCTCGGGATGTAGTGCGGCTTTTTGGGCTTGCGTTCCTTGTGTTTAAAGCCCACCTTACAGTCGTCCTTCGACATGGTGCGATATGAAAACAGTCGCAAAACGGGTTTCTCTCAAAGCTGGATTTCTGAGGAGCTTGTATGCTTATGGTTACGTCTTTGTTTGAGGACAAGTTTGCATTGAGTGTGTGTTGTAGGATGAATTGTGTGTGTAAACTTGTAAACTTGTATTTGGTCAGGACTGGGATCATGTGGGAACGCAGCCATCAGATTTCAGCTGTTGAGAAAATCAAGAAAATATGATTACATCTTTGATTATAAAATATTATTTCTTTAATCATTTAAAATATTTAAAATCGTTATATATATATATATAATATATTTTTACTTATTATTATTATTATTATTATTATTATTATTAT